GTGGTCGTGGTCGTGGTCGTGGTCGTGGTCGTGGTCGTGGTCGTGGTTGTGGTTGTTGTTGTTGTTGTTGTCGTTGTTGTTGTTGTTGTTGGTGTGTATGTGGGTGTGTATTGGAATAGGGAGACCTCCGAAGAAGGGAAATGGACCAGTCTACCCGTGTCAGAGTTTGCTGTCTGTGGTCGTGCTAGTGGACGAGCTGTACAGCTAGTGGCGGCCTACCCCAATCCTGTTGGACCGGAAGAAATAGAAACGTACCAACCAGGTGTATAGAAACGTATCATACACCAAACATACATCGAAAGCTATATATGCTCCATCAGCCATGACCAAAAACCGCTGCGTTTCTTTTACTGCCTTTTTCACCAACATCCAGCATGCCAGCCTCTCCCTCTGCGGTCTTCCTCCCAGTCCCCTCCCAAAACTTGCGTCGAGAAATCGCGGCGATCTGAGATGAGCGGCCCAGAACTTCTTGATGATCTGCCCACTGAGCAAATGAAGCTGTGGATCCACCTCAACCGCTCAACCGGCGCCAACCCAGAAAAGCCCAGGCGCCCCTTTTCCGGCACCCGCGGGCATCGTGTGAAGCCCAGGATGTGGGTTGTGGAGTCGACGTGCTTTTCTTGACGTCCAACCCCTTGGGGCCAAACTCAATGTTTGATCAGGCCACATGAAACCTTTTTGAGGATCAGTTGAAATGATGGAAAAACACCTCCAACCCGGATGTTTGTGTCCCAACCCGCTTCACTGGGCGCTGCACCAGGGATGTGAAAAGGTGCTGCTTCACTTTGTCAAAAACGTGGAGCCACTCATCAGCCTCCTCATCTTCGAAGAAGAATGGTAAACTGGCACTGAGCACCTGCGCGCGAACACGGGGCCCCACGCGAACACGCCGACGTGACCACCTTCCCTAGACTAGACCAAATGGTGACAACCCTCCCAAAAATGTCTCGTCTACCGCTGAACCAGCATGCACAAATACGGATAGCATTGAAGTGTTTCCCTTCCGCCCGCAAGTATCAGTGGAACAAGTGAACACACCGTTGCTGGAAACGGTTTTAGACGCGGAACCAGCGGTTTCAGCGCGACTCGAGTCCAACACACGCGCGTCACACGGACTTACACAAATGATCGGTCCACTTCACTGGGATGAGAGGCAGCATTGGGCTGAAACCTTCCGTAGTATCAAGGCAGTTGTCTTTGGGTGTTTGTCTTGGCTTAAAGAACGAATCTTAGGCTTATAATGAATACAGTATAAATATATATATATATGTGTGTGTACCTGTATAATTCTGCATATTGTGACAAAAGGAAAAACATCCAACCTCCCAAGGAAGTTGTAGTAGGATAACAGAAGTGGCAATGCCGTGGGTTCCAAAATGCTGGCGGACTGTCTTTTCCTGGTGCCCGGGAAAGGTCAAACGTGGTCCATCCTGATGCCCCAGATCTGGTGAAGAGTTTTCGGAGTGCCCAACTGGAGATGTTCACATGAGAGAAAAGAATCACATGTCAACATGTCGGGACAATCCTTATATAGCACACACCCTCAAGAGCCTCCAAGTGTTCTTCATCCACTTTCACCAACTGCGTTGCCTGGCCCGGCACGCAGGCTTGAGGATCCACTGTTTGCTCGTTTGCTCTTTCTCAAGCCACGTCAGGTACCTTCTTGCAGAACAGGAACAGCCAGGGCACCTTTAGTAGACACAGTAGTGCAGCACCCTGCTCGACCTTCTAAACTTCTGAGGTTCCCCAACTTTTGGCAGAGACTCCCACTCTGTCCGACTCTGTCCCCCAAAAAATCAGAGTGCCAAGCTTGGCCCTAAACGTGCACCAAAACGAGACCTCGCCGCACTCCGCACTCCGCCCGGCGCCGCGGATCTGCGGAGCGCCTCCATTTGCATGGCCAGCGTGCGGGCGATGTCCAAGTGAGGCCAGACCTCCGGGAGACTGGTTTCCTGGGCACGGAGCGCACGGAGGAGGTGGCGAGTTTCTGGCAGCTGGCAGAAGGCACGAGCCAATTCAAACTGGAGATCCTTGGGTTGAGATTTCAAACTGGAGATTGGTGTCTGTTGCTGGTAAACATCTCCTGTAACCAATGGGCTGGATGCCCAGCACGGCAACACAAAGGCAGAAGGTTGGTCATTCTTCCTTCACACATGTAGTATTGTGTGACAACTCATGTTGAAGCACTGCCAAGTGAGTCGGGCATGATCTACACCTGCCTCTCCCCTGTGGCATCTATGACTTGCAGTATTCACAATGGATCAAGATGGCAGGTTCTTGCACAAGTGACCCTTTGCAAGGATAGAAGCCACAAAAAGTAAACACCTGATGTTAGCTGTTTAATCTAAGTCAGAGAACAACCACGGGCGCACCTCGTACATGCTGGTGCTATTGCCCTGCACGTAGCTCCGCCGCGCCCTCTCGCCACCCTGCGCGGGAAGACGAGGGTCTCCACGTCGCAAAAAGGCGCTAGGTAGAGCACTTGTTCCTAGTAGCTTCTTGTTACTACTAGTAAGGCACTTGTT